TGCACCGGCTGGCATTTAGGCAGCCTGAGATGAGCTTGGAGCATGAGGATGAACCTTTAGAGAAGTGATAATAATGTAGTACAGCTCATGGTGAAAATTGGCAGAGGCAGGTAGAGAAAAGGCCTATAGAAATGTTTGGGAGTCTGCAAGGTGAGGTGTTGAGGCTGCCTTTCTTCATAAGTCATCTCTTCCAGCACATCCAGACAAGGTGGATTGCTTTGTATCACAGCTCCCATTAACTTGTCTTAAAAGAATAAGGCACCTTCAGCAGAGTGAATCAGAACCTCATGGGACTAGACCTTTATTCTTTTTAGGTGATGTAAATAGGAGTTTGATAGGTGAGCCAAGTTATCCTTGTCTTTACAGATGATGGAGGGAAGCCTTAAGAGAACTGTATGAGCTCAGCAGAGGCTCAAACACCATATCTTTGTGTCACTTCATGCCACGATAATCACTGCTTGCAGTGCAGAGCTCACATCTCTCTTTCATGTCTGTAATACCTGTCCTGTTCCAAATAACCTGTCCCAGTCCTGTTCCAAAGGAACCAAACAACTCCCATGCTAATTTGATATGGCTGAGCAGGCTGACTGAGAATTCATAAACTCTCCACCATTAGCGTGGGCTGCAGACAGAGCTTCCTGTGCTCTGAGGGTGTATAACTGAGATATTTGAGTCATGCATGACAGTGAATGTGTCTGCATCTCTCAGGGTCTGGATATTTCAGTGTCGTCCCCGGGGTTAAATGCCTGCAGTGGAAAGTCATGTTCTAGAGTATTTCCTTTAAATTCACATATCGTGGTGCATTTCTATCAGACCAGGTAGCACAGATGAACCCAGCTGTTTTTGCAGGAAATCTGTCTGATAACCTGTGCTCCCTGGGCAGTGACAGCTCAAGGCAGGATGAGGAGGTTCTACTGTGGATGGATGGGATCAGCCCTCGGGATCTGCTGGTGCTCTGTGGTGATCCATGTGTCATGCCCAGCACTCCACCCTGGGAAGCAGCCTTAGCTCTGCTGCTGAAGCTGCAGGGACATGAGGGCCAAAGCCTTGAGTCAGGTTTCTCCTGGACCTCTGGATCAGGAGCTGGGAGGCAGGGGACCAGCTTGGTGTGGGTGTGGTAACAGGATTACAGAGCACTTGGGGTGCAGAGCATATTTTGGATAGAGCTTCTTACACGCTGCAGGGCTGTCATGTTGTTATGGTCTAGCTGAGAGGTGGCAAAAGGCATGAATAACTGTGGCTGTGCTGCTGTTCTCAGGCGGGGATGAGCTGACATCCTGGTGTTAATAGTGTGGATCACAGGTGCCCTGACATAGTATCTTGATGGCAGCAAGGGGTGTGAGGAACCTAAGAACTGAACAGACTTGCCAGTGGCACACTAACCCCTGACTTCCAGTGCTCAGGGCCATTTCTGAGGTGAATTTACACAGCCTGTACCTTCTATTCAGCTCCCAGCTGACCTTGTCTGAATTCTAGGGCACCCTTGTGGCATTGGCATCTGTGTGACTGACAGAAGCAATGACAGTCCTGCTTTAAACATCAGAGGCTTTTTAGCAGTGTTAATGATGCCCAGGCTCTTCTGAAGGGAAAATGCAACGGCAGGCTGTGGAGCCTCACCTCACTGCTCCAAGGCTGTCAGAAGCTGTGAGCTCTTAGTTGGAAGGAGTGTGTACAGGTGTACCTGTATAGCCCATCCTTCAGGAGAGAAACCGCAGTAAGTGCTGCTGAGAGAGATGGCAGATCCTCACAGATTTATGCTGATTAGAGAGGTGCTAATGCCTTGCTTTTACAGCTTGATCTTCCTCCTGTCTTTTGTGCTGGCTCATAAATACACGCCAGTTCATCCTCTTTGTCTCTTCTCATGACCTTTCTTTAAATTTGGTTAAGTTCCTGATGCATGGGTTGTCTTGCCCCTCACCATGAAGAGACCTGCCTCGGGATGACCCCAAGTCTCACTATAATTCCTGCTGCAACGTTTTATTTCAGACTTTATTTTGGGGGGATAAGACTGCATTCAATCATGCTCCACAGGGTGCTAAAAGCCTGTGGTCTGGGTGATGCTCTGTGTAATCTGCCTTGTCAATACCCATTGCTCACATCCACACCAGTGGAGAGGATTTTGCCAGCTGACTGGGTGCTTCTGAACCTGAAGTGTGATGCTGACTTTCCTTCCATGACCTGATTCTCCTGCTTTCATTTCAAGTGTTTGCTTCCCATCCTGGCTTCTTGGAGCACATGGCAAAAATATGTCCCTGGGAGATGTAGACAGGGTGAGTGTGGTACAAGGATTCCCTCATTACATGTGAGGGAGGTGTCTCTGCAAAGGCAGCTGTGGGGGGCAATGCCATCTATTCATCTGCAGTAGCTGTTGGATCATCTTCCCATTAGTCACCTCCATAGGAGCCTGATCAATCCACTGCTACTTCACAGTCTTCCCTACAATTGGCTGCTAAAGGAAGAGAAATGTCACTTATTTGGAAACTCTGCTTTCTTATTCTGGCAGTGAATGAACTTATCCGGAACATCAGAGTCCCCAAGGCTGCAAGGTCCAGTTCCCCACCAGCTTACATTGAGATAAACCAAATATATGGTCAAAGGGAAAAGCCCTCTCATGTTGAGAATGGCTTCAAGTGTCTCTTCCCTGCAGGCCACAAATGTAGCTCGTTGCAGGGGCTTGGCCACGGTTTTCCATAAAAAGAGCCACATCTGGAGATGCTGGCTCGTTATTTTTGCAGGCACCTGTGCTTTGCTTGCTTCTAGTGACAAACTGAACTGGAGATGGGAAGTCCTTGTCTTGCAGAGGGTACAGGTTAAAACAGTGTGAGTCATCACAGGGGAAGGGGAAAGTCACTTGACAGTAGAATCAGGTGCAGCTGGTTATGGGGAGGGTCTGAGCAGGCAGTTGAGACAACTTTATGAAACATATATGGTGTGCACAGCAGTGAGATGTAGCATGTGCTTGGCTGTCAGCATTAGCATGATGTGCTGCTGGCACAGGAACGTCTTTCCTGCTGAAAGCAGCTCTCGGAAGAGGCAGTCGATGTGCCAGTTGCAACAAGGTGACAGTGATGCAGTAGATAAAGAGCAGCCTGGGAGTGGGAATTCATGTTTTCTGATCCTGTTCAGGGCCTTTGGGCTTGATACTGATTCTGTTTGCAAGCTGCTAGGAAAGAGATCTCTGAGAAGATGTCTGCCTAATGCAACATGCTGCTAGTCTGTCTTGAACCCTACCCAGTACTGTCATAAGGTTAAGAGCAAGAGGCCACAGGTCCTTGTAGCATCAGTAGCCCTTGATAGGCAAGAGTAGTGAAGCGAGTCCCTGAAAACTTGTTCTTTCTATTTGGACGCTTGTTCTTGGACAGCTGATTATTCCTGCTGGAGAGAAAAACCTGGCCATTGTATCTGCCTGGGAAAAAAAGAGGATGATTCATTGAGATACTAGCACCTTCTAGTCCTGTTTTCTAAAAGAACCTGCAGTTCTTTCCACTCTCATGCTGCCTGTGAATTTAATAAGTTTCCTTTTTGCTCCTTCATCCGGGCCAGTAGCAGAAGCTCTGAAGATGGTGGGCATGTGACAGGCGCCTACAAAATCCTGTTTGTCAACATGCTCTTCCTTTGTAGCAGAGGACACCACTTATACCTGCCCTCTACCCCTCTCTCTGAGCAGTTTTTTGCCTTCCTTGTTGCTGTTTCTCTTCAGCCCACATCCTCCTTGCTTGTGGGAACAGCAGACTGGGCAGCACCAAGAGCCTTGCTGGAGTGGAGGTGTCTGACAGGGAGTGCTCTGCTGGAAGCCTGTTGTACAGGCAGGAGATAGATGGGCTTGATGTGATTTGCTCTTGACAAATCCATATTGGCTGCAACTCATCTCCTTGTTATCTCATTGATTTTTGGAGGGCTTGGAATTGGGTCTTCAGGGAAACAGGGCAGTGTGTATGAAGGCATGACAGCTTCCTATCTGCAGTACGTGCCTTGTGTTGTTGGCCACTGCCCCTGAAGTGTCTCTCCTGGACCCCAAATGGCTTGTTGCTCCTCAGCACCCCCGTGGTGATGGGGTGGGTGTTTGTTCACGTCCCCTTGGTGGTGTTTTGTCACATCCTAGTGGCTTGACTGCACGGTGGCCATGGATGTGGTGCTGTCACAGGGGCTTCAGGGGACTTGCTTTTCACTCTTCTTTTGGAAGAGTGATCTGGGGTTCAGTCCCCCCTTGCTCACAACATCCTGGTTGTCTCCTTGCAGGCAATGACAGCATTCAGTCCCAGATCATCCCACACTACAGCAGCCCTTGGGGTGCTGACCAGCTGTCCTGAGTGGAAGGTGAGCTTTTTGTGTTGCTGTAGCAGCAATTACTTTCTCCTGTGTTAAAAATGATGATGCTTCTTTTTCCCTTCTCTCATGATGAGACTTGGCTATGGAAAGGCAGGATGAGATGCCATTTCCTTAGTCCCTTTCCTCTAAGATCTCACAAAAAACATTACAGTGCTGGCATGACAACAGCAGCAAAAATGGCAGCACCAATTCCTGCCCACTTGGAGGAAGGTTTAGCTAAGACAGGTTATTAACTTGCTTTTCTGTGGCTGCTATGGGATCATATGTGTGATGCTGGGTGAGATTCTCACAGAGGAGATCTGCTGAAGGGTTGAGGGTCTGAACCTGAAGCCTGATGCTGGCTCAGGACTCTGTTGTAGGGAGAGGTTGGAGAGGATGGGTACACTTGTAGATGATACTTGTGACACCTGAGGAGTGGTGCCTGGTGGTGGTTGTGCTTTACCAGTCCTGGCCTCTCCAGGTCACAAAGCAGCAGAGGGATGCACAAAGCCAGCTTTGTAATGAGGGTGTTGATAGCAGAGGATGTGCTGACTGGCAGTGGGGCCCATCTCTGAGAGCTGGAAGTGACTGGATCCAGGGGCATGGGGGCAGCAGGACAGAGGAGAAGGTCATTCCTCTGTTCTTTAGAGCCTCAGAAATGCAGCTGAATCTGGGGCAAAACATCTGGGCTATGCTTGCTTTATTTATGTTTTTTCCTAGGCATGTCTCTAATCAGAAGCAAATCATGTGCTTGAGTAGAAATTCAAGTGGTTCAGATTCCCCCAGAGAAGGCTGAGGTGACTTGGTAGATTTGCTCTGCAATGGTGCTCAAAAGAAATGTCAGCAGCTTCATTCAGGGTCACTGAAGCTTCTTGTTGTCCACTGTGGGGTCACTTTGTGGATGCTCAGTTCCTGGGTTTGGTCTTCTCATGCACTCTGGGTTTTCCTCTCCTCCTTAGTCACTGGAGAGCGAGCAGAAACTCTGCAGCCACTGGGGAAGGAAAGCACTGGAATACTTTAAAAGCAATTAATGTTTGCCAGCACAGATCTAGCAGTGCATTGCTCCTTCCAGTCACATTCCCTGCCTCTGGCCCCCTCACCACCTGCTGCACTTTTTTGGGTTTTCCTTTATCAGTTGCTTTTCATTTTCACTTGAGCTGTCGGTGAGAGCTGAAGTAGAAGTTCAGATTAAGTTGCAGCTGAGATGTGCTTTGCTGGGGATTATGGAGCTGGCTGTGTGTGTAGCTGTCAGGTAGGGCAGGAGGAACACAGCTTTTTAGCAGGCTGTGAGCAGACAGAAGTCTCTGATTTCCAGGGCTGAAAATTGTGCTCCCAGGCTCCAGTCTGCACTGGTGTAACCAATACCACTTCCTTTATGGAACTGGTTGATTCAGTCTAAATAGGATAGCTGGGCTGGGCTGACTTCCTAGGTGAATTGGAGCTTCTGGGCTAGCCCAGAGAGCTGTCAGCATGGGTGGAGGCTCAGGCAGCACCTGGAGAAGGGTAAAGTCTGCTCCCACTGGTGCATTTTGGTCTGATGCAGGTTCTAGGCATAGTAGAGGGAAAACCTGAAGCTTTGACATATATCTCAGCTTTTTTAATTGTTTGGGTGAGCTCAATTTCTGTAATTGCTTCCTTCAGGAAGCTCTCTGGCTGTGCCTGGCGAGGAGATGCATCACCTGAGGATTAAAATGCAGCTGCTGTGAGACAAAACCAGGCCAGAGTCAGCAGTTGCTGTGGAAGGAGGGCTTGGGCACCAGCAAATGGACATGTAGGGCTGGCCTGACTGTGTGGACTGTACTGAGTTAAAATAACCAACACTGTGTGGCTGTTTCTTTCAAAATGTTAAAAATATCCCAGCTTCTCCATAAATCCAGGAGATGCAACTGCTATTGCCTAGCACAAGTGTGGATGACTGTCCTCCCTCAGAGCCTGGTGGGAGCTGTAATGCTTGTGCTGAATTGATATTTTAAGGACCCTTACAGAGCAAATTGTCTGAGCCTTTAGTTTGGCAGCTGGGCTGACCCAGGTGGGATGTAAACCAGTGGTTCAGGGTGCTCTGCTCCTTTTGGTGACAGGGTGGTGATCAGACCACACTTATTGCTCTCATGGGGCAGAAGGTCCAGCCCAGGAACTTGTATGTGACTGACTCTGCGTGTTTTGAGCGGACTGTCATGTTGTACAAAGGGTCCTCCAGAGGTGCGAGAGACTCCCCCATCCTGGGGACCTGAGGCCCTGCTCTCAGGCTGGGCTAAGGCATCCTACTGTCCCCATCTCTGGAGCTCTCTGGGCTGCAGGGTTGCCCTGCCATGATGCCACAGCACTGGGGTTATGTTGCTGCTGCTGTATAACACGGGCACAAAGAGCACAGCAATGCTGTACCTTCACTCTGTCCCTCGTGCACACTGTGTCAGTGCAGCCTATTGCCAGGTACCAGTGGCATCCTCTCCCTCTGAGCCCTGGCTGATGGAAGACTGATTTCCATCCTGCCACCTCCCAAGCTTTCTTTCCCTGCTGCTCTCATTTCCCTGAGTTTCTCCAGGAGGAATTCAACAAGGAAGCCTGCTGTTGCTGGAAGTACTGCTATTTTCAGAGCCCTAATCTCCCACCTTACCTGTTCCGAGCTCCCAGTGTCACAGGCACAGCCTTGCTTGCCACATGCTTCCAACTCAGGGATGCACTTGGCAGGAATGCTGCACAGCTTAGCAGTGGCCAAGGTGATCTCTAATAGCATCTGTGTGTTGTTGAGATAGTGCTTATCTGTTGGGAGGGAGTAAAGGAGCAAGCAGGCCTGACCTCCAGAGCACAAATGAGACTAAAACCTCGTACCTGAATCTCTCAGATGATCTATCAGATCTCCCTACAGAAACATGAAAAAAAATCAGTAAACGTGATAGCGAGGTACTAGGAGATGCTTGGTGGAGAGATGATTGTACTAATGGAGGGCAGTGAGAGGTAGTGTGGTACTCTCAGCCATGAGAGAGGCTATAAATTGTGTCCTGTGTGATGATGAGCCACTGTCGCAACATATGGCAGCCAGTGTGGGTTGTGAAGTCTGAGCCCCTCGGCGGGTGCCTACTGCCACCCAAAATGGCTCACAGCCATCTGCTGTGACTACCCCTCCTCCCACCTCCTGCTGTAGGCAAGGCCTGAGCCTGTGATTCCTGCTCGGAGCCTTCCCAGAGCAGCCCCATCGTTCTCTTGGAAGAGTTTGGAAAGCTGTAAACCCAAATGTTCCATGTAAACCCAAATGTTCCATGTAAACCCAAATGTTCCATGTAAACCCAAATGTTCCATGTAAACCCAAATGTTCCATGTAAACCCAAATGTTCCATGTAAACCCAAATGTTTCATGTCAACAGCATGTCCATGTGTTGGAGATATTACAGATGCTTCCTGCCCTCCTCAGCTGTTTGCTCCCTCTGGAAAGGGATTGGGGTGCTGCAAGAGCAGCAGTCCCAAGAGTTGTGTCCGGGCTGAAATTCCTCAAACAAGGAATGACAGTGAATGTTTGTTTAAAGTTCCCTTCCATCTAATCTCCACAGATGCTAGTGAGATAACAACATTTTTTTTTGTGGGGTTACCCAGCAACGAAAAAATATTTGGGTCAAATTGAGCTGTTTACATTCGTCTTGGTTTATCCATCTTGTAGGGAACGAAACAAGTTTCTTGTTAAGTTTTTCCCTCTTCGTTTTATTTTTATCTTGACGCTTTGTATAAAAAGCGTTCCATGTGAATCATGGATATTATGATTCCAGTCATGATGAAGGCGTTGTGACATCTCTCTGCTGTGGTGCTGGTACACGAGGGATGAGTAAACTGTGTTCAGTGCAGTGAGACCCAGCCTGGTGTCTGTCTCCTGCACTTCCTTGGCCTTCTGCTTTTGAATGGAGAGGCCCCAGTTTGTGAACTAGGGATGGTAATAGGAGTACAATTAAACTCCTATCTTCTAATGAGTTGCCCAGTGCCCCAGGGTTTCACACACGATTCTCCAGTCTGTCTGTGCTCTCAAGGGACCAGACCTTTTCTTTACGCTCATATTATGTTCTCATGGACTCCTCTGAAGGTGTAAATAACAAAGTGTCCTTCAAAAGTCAGTTTCTGCTTTTTGTATGATCATGAAGTCATGATAAAGAGACTTACTGAAGGATTGGTTGTGCTGGCCCTGGTCTTGTGGAAGACTTAGTTGTCTGTGGAGATTTATCCACCCTGAAAAGCTTCATTTGATTGAAGATTGTCCCACAGCTAGAGAGGAGTATCCTGTGCCTATCCCAATGAATTGGCCTCTCTGATCTGTGATTTGGGCTCTCTTGGTCTCATTGAATTAAAATGATGGAGTCTGGAAAGCTAGAAATGATCAACCATCACTGAAGGAGAGCATCCTGCCTGTGAGCCCTCTGTGCTTACCAGTCTCTCCCTTTGGGCCTCTTTGGAAGTGCTGCCATGGGAAAGGAACGGACTGGAGACAGATGATGCTGCACCAGTCCAAGGAAGCATCAGGCCTGGCTGAATAATCTGAAAGCCTGAGCTGTAATTAATTTGAGCATGTTCTCCTAACAGCCAGGGGCCTGCCCCATGCACAGGGCTCTTGGTGTTGTCACAGGGCTCTGGGTAAGGTGTGGATGGCTGCTTCCAGGGACACCTGGGGCTGCCATGGGAGGCCAGTGTGTTGAATGCACGTGAATGGGAAGTAGGTCAGCAGTGGGGAGCAGGTCTTCGTGGGCATTAACATGTGTTAATGTGTGTGTAAAACTTAGGGAATTAAAAAAACTGCAACCAAAGCTGTGTTTTATCCTCTCCTTCCCAGTGTGTGCTGTGAAGGGAAGAAGGGGTCTTCAGGGACAGCAGGATAGATCCTTCTCTGGAGCAAATCTTTGTAGCTCCGTTGATTTAGCTGGCACTTCACTGATTAATACCAGTTGAGAATCCAAGCTGGAGTGTTTTGTATGCTTGTAAATAATTGAACACCATGTGAATACAATGATGTAAGGGAGGATGGGAATAAAGCAGAGACTCTGAGAAATTTTAGGTTTTTTGGAACGAGGCTTTTATGTGGAAACATATTGGCATCTTGGCTGCGAGGCACTATGGTTGAGTGTGAGGGGTTTTTCATCGTAATTATAAGGACTAGAGCTGGAGAGCTGTTGAAACTGCGAAAAATGGCAAGCACATGTCAGATGGGGAGAGGGAGGCTGCTGCCAGCTGTTCCTCCCCTCCCGCTGCCTGACTGGGTTTGATAAATATGCATTATTTTTTAATACTAAAAATGAGTCCTAGTTCTGGCAAGGTGCTAAGTTGACAAACCTGAGATTAAAACCCTTGTTATCCAGGGTGAAGCAGCAACAACAGCACAAGCTTCCCCTGTGTGCCGAGGGATCCAGTTAATGTGCTGCTGCCTTGGTGGAGGCCAAGAGATGCGACTTGTGATGATGGTATTTTGTGATGTGGGCTACAGGCTCTTTGTACACACTGGCTGCCAAATCTCTGCCCGTAAGAGTTGGCTTTTGATGGCATGGGTTGGTGGGAGCTGATGTTGACCTGTCCCTCCTTACTGGTCTGGGAGCAGTTCCCAAATCCATGCCTCTCCTGTTTGCCCCTGTGTAACATGGCTGTTCCAGCCCCTGCTCACAGGGAGATGTGAGGTTAGGAAATCAATTGATGTGTTTAAACCCATCTGCATGTGTGATTTAGGGACAAGACACGAGCCAAGTCAGTGGCCAGTGAGCTGGGGACTGCCCTTGGCTGCTAGGCAGGCGCTCCAGGGAGCCTGGATGGAGGGCTGCTGATATGTGGATGTGAGCTTCAAAGCTGGAGGCTTCCCAGGAGCTCCCAGGGGAGGAGATGAAGCTGTGAAGTCTGGAAGTAGGCCTTCAGATCATGGATGAGATTCCCAGAGCTGTGTGTTGTGTATGATCTAGTCACCTGGCAGAGAGGGACTGTACCTTCCTTCTATCTCCTCACAAACTGGGGAGAGTAAAATGTGGATATTTGGAGAGACTTAATCATCTTTCTATAGATTAACAGCTGAATTCCAGAAAGATCCAGATTTGGTTAGAGCCTGTGGGCTTGTCTTTTTGCCTATTCCTACAGAGTAGGAATTTATATCCCTAATTTCTTGTCCCCTTCCTGAGCCAGGGCTGAAGAAACTGTGCAGCATGGAGGCAGGAGCTGGCTCTGCCTGCTTGCAGGAGCTGCTGCCATTTTGTGTCTCACTCCACTCAGACTGTGATGAATTGCTGTGCTTTGCCTCTTGGAGAGGCTTTATAGTCTTCTTTTCTTTGTCACTGTCTTTAACTCAAAATAAAAGTCAGTCAGGGACGAATGAGGGGTTTGTGCTGAGTTTGGGGCAGTGTAACAGTGGTGACAGGTGCCCTCCATTTCTTGGACAATGGGCACAGCTTCACACCATAAGCCATTTTTATCCAGGGCTTGGACTTTTCTTGCTGTAGTATTTATCAGTTACCTATTTGCTACACTGCAAACCCCTTTCTTCTGCAAGATACTTTTCAGTGCTGCCAGATCTCTGCTCTGCCAGCCTCTCGGTTGGGGCAGCTTGCTGAGAGCCTGCACATACTGTGGTTGGCCCCCAACCTTTGCCCAGGAGGGACTCAGGTGGGAATGAAGTCAGGATTAAGATGTAGTGGGTGACAGATACATCCTGAAATCACATGGATGTGTCCCTTAGGACAGTGGTGCAGTGGGAGATGGCAGGAGCAGGAGGGATGGTGCTCTGAGGGCAGAGTGCAGAGCCCTCCAAAATCCCAGGTGTGGCACTCAGTACTGCTGGGGGTCAGGTGCTTTGCTTGTGTTTTGAGGTGAGGTGACACTTTGCACTGTTCCCTGTACCATACAGAGAATGCTGTGTAAAAACAGCAGTCCTGTCCCAGGCAGGCAAGTGGCAGGAGGGCAGAATTTAGGGGACTGCAGAGGTGGCCTGACCTGGAGTTTATCTGAGCACTCCCTGCAGGGATAAAACTAAAACCTCTGGGGAAATGTCAAACAGCAATTGCTAGAGAACACGATGCTGGGAAAAAAATTCAACCCTTACCCCACAGACTCATTCCAAAACATATATTAAAGGTTACCCAGACAACCTTAATACCTCCAGAAATGTGACCTTGAAAACCACCTAGAGAGCAAGGAACCAGCAGATGGTCTCAGCTGCTGGCTGCGAGCAGTGCCCACAGAGTAACGTGCTTTAGCCCTCACTTGGTTTCATTCACTCAACTGGCATCATATTCAGCTCAGAGACTTATTGCCCCTGGGGGGGGGTTCTGTTGAGCCATTGATGCAGCATTGAAATATTTATTTCATAAGCAGCCACCAGGGAAACTAAATTTCCAAGCAAGCCAGCCCTGTGGGGGTACTCCTGAAAGGACACCTGAAGCAAATGTTCCATGAAAAGCATTTTTTTGGTGATTATTTTATTGCACTGGGACCCAGGATGCAAAGCTGCCTGTTGCAGGAGTGCCTGCCTTCCTCTGGAAGGCAACAGTTAGTCCCTGGGACAGGGGCTTGCAATCTAATTTAAATATATGGAAGTGGAACTGGGAAACTAAATCACCCCCACAACATTCCTCAAACAGCAAAGACCTGAATTCTTTCTAGGGACCAGATTGAAACACCTGTGAGAATTCTATGCCTAAAACATTATTGTTTAGGGCATTGCCTTCACAAGGAAGGAAAACAGTAGCAAAAAAGCACCACTTTCAAACCCTCCTTTGTCACTTCTGATTCATCTGCCTCAGGCTTCCCAGAGGTCTGCCCTGCTCCATGAGCTCCCCTGGGGCACATCAGGCTCATCCAGGTTCTGGCAATAGGAACCAAGATCCTGGTGTGTGGACCTCCACAACGCCCTGTTT